GAGTGATAATGTATTGCTACACCCAGCCAAGTGCCAGTACCTACACCGCTTAAACAAGATGCGTCAGGGAGCACCCATCTCATCTACGCCATTGTCTTGGGGACTGGTACAACCAGACGTCCCAAATAGGAGGTTCATGGCTGTTTGCGGCAGGAGGAGAGCGGTCCTTACGGACCAGTAAGTCTCCAGTTCTGCGACCTCCTGCTACTTCATGCCTGGAAGCTCTCCTATATCAACTCAACACGTGGACAACCCGCATAGGGATGTCTTCCTGCGGGATCTGGGAACGGAGGAGGAGTTGTGTGTCACAGCGTACCTAAACGCTCAGAGAAAGACAACCAGGGAACAAGAGCCCGTCCAGAGGCGGATGGCTGTTTGCTGTCTTCACCCATGAGCTGCGCTTGCTCCGTTCCCAGTCCTGTTTGGACTTGTTAGCATGGTATCAAATCCCCTGTGCATCTGGCAGACACCTTCCCCTGCTAAAGCAGCTCCAGCTTCAAAGGGAAATTCGGAAGCAAAAAGCCCACGCCCAAAAGGAAAACCTGATTATTTTTTTTTTTTGCCTTTTTTTTTATCTGTAAGATGTTTCCTCTTTCACATGACTCCAGCAGCCCTTCCACAGGAGAAATCCCAGGAAAGGAGAGTGACTTCCTCCAGCAAGCGACGAATACATTAATCCCATCGCACACAGAATACATCAAACAGCCAGAATGACTTTGAATACACTAACCCTTTGGAAACCCCCAGGACACACACACACAGCCTGTGTTCATGCAGTGTCACCTCTCCGAGCCCCAGCTCCTGGCCCCGCTGCAGGTAGACACTCGGTCCACAGCTCTCTGAGCGAGCCCAGGGTACACGTACATAAAATGGCAACCCCACTCCGGCCCCTTCCGCAAGGCTGGGACCATCAGGCAGGTTCCCAGTCCCACCCTCTGCATCTCTGGCAGGTTCCCAGTCCCACCCCGTGCCACCTCCGCATCTCTCCTAGGATCCATCACCACATCCTGGGTATCCTTCCCTGCTCGGTTTCTGGCCCCGCTGACTCCAAATCTTCTGCCCACCAGCTGTGGGGACCTGGTCTACCTCATGGTGAGGGGCTCTGGTTCCCATCCTACCACCTGCCTCCAGCCCTCGGGGATGGAAAAAGCCTGGTCTGATGGAGGTTGTGCAGGAAAATCCTTGCTTCACCTTGGCCAGCAAGCCGGTGACCCTTGGGGGATGCTGGGGAGCTATAGAGGGGATGACACTCTGCAGCAAACATTCCCGTGGGAAGAGGAACGCTGTCTCCCTTCTCCTCCCTCCGCAGGGTCAATCTCCATCTGAGACCTTGCAGATATCTCCCCCACACCTAATCAGCGCTGCCGAACAATCGCTGCGTGGGAGCCGGCGAGCGAAGGCCTTGGGAAAACGGTGCAAACTCAATGGAGCACACCCCGGGGAAAGGTTATGGACCACCAGCCTGGTGGGAGCAACACCGGGATGGGGGAAAACTGTCCCTGAGCTAGTGAAGCCTCACGGGGGGCTTCTCACCATGGGAAGCCCTCTCCAGCCGCCTCCCCATGTGCAGAGATAGGGAGAGGAATTGGGAATTGCACCCCTCCGAGCCCCGCCTCAGCTCCAGCTACCGGTGTTTTCAGCCGAGGGACGATGCTCCAGCCCCGCATCCTGCAGCGTGCTCATTAACTCCAAGCTAATTATAGCTGTTGTCTGAAACAAATTGATTCATTACAGTGTGCTGTGCTTAACCACGTTAACTAGCTACGCTCCTCTACCAGCCCGACCGGCTCCGTATCAAATCTTCCTTGAAAATCACCGATAAATCAAAGTAAATCCGATGTCTTCTCCAAGTGGGGTGTAAGATAATAAATAACCCCCGAGCCAGCGAGGAAAAGACAACTTTCTTTTTAGGGCTTTGTATCCTTAATAATAAGCATGAGCAATTAAATTTCTGTTGCTGTATTTATCTTCTACTCGTGTATTTTTCTTTGGAAGGAGCATTAATGTTAAAGGAGCTCCTTGCATGAAGGAATGTGTCTTCCGACGAAACTATTTTGATCTTCTATTGCCAGATAACCCGAAGTGCAAAAGGTCAGAAAAAGCAGAATATCAGACTGCCCTGACAATTGTTTTTATAGAGGTTTTTTTTTTCCGGACATTAAACTCCATCCTCCCTAATTTGTGGATTAGGAAAGCGAGAAAGTAAGAGTAAAGGGAATTAGGAGATCGGAGGGTAAATGATTATAAACTGAAGTGATGTACAGCTCCTTTTGGTGGAAATGGACTCTTTTTCCTTTCTTTTCCCCTCCTGGTCCTCTCGAGATGCAGTTCTGTTAACCCAAGCACTTTTAGGCAAGCTGATAACTTCACAAAACGCTGGCAAAATTGAAGGTGATTCATGTCATTTAAATGGGGGGGGGGGGGAAGGAAGAGAAACAGCCCATTCATTTGCATATATTTGCATTTTTTTTAAACTCGCAGGGTGGTTTGACAGCTCCGGAGCTGAGCGAGCCTGAGAAATGACCTTATGGTTCCCATGCCCCCGGGGAGGTTGATGGCCAGAGGCTGGAAGTGTGTTGAGGTTGACGTTTTCCTTCCTCCCCCTCCCTCCTCTCCCTCCTCCTGCGCTCCCCCCTTCCCCTCCCCAAGCCAAGGGTGGGGTCTTCAAGAATAACCGGCATAAAAATAGCATCTGACGGTGACAAATGTCACCAGCGTATGCACACACACAAATGCTGAACGGACTCCACGGAGTTAAACAGAAAAAGCTCATTTTATAATAGAAAATTACAGCATTGTTAAAATAAACTGGGGCGGGGTGGGGGGAGAGGGTGGAGGGCACCTAAAATAAATGTATTCTGCAGATGACATCTCGAAACATTGCATTTACGGGCATGCTTAAAACTCATTCATTACTTTCTTGCCATGAAAATCCCCATTTATAAAAAAACATGATCCTGGGAGATGCTATTTGTCTACGGTGAGCTCTGCCAGCGTATTTAGGCACTCGAGGCTGCAATAGGAGAAAAGGAGGGGAATGGGGGGGGGGAGTTGAGCTTTATCCCCTTTTTGGGATGAAAATCCTCGCGGTTTTGAGCAGGATGGGGCTTTGCGGTGAGCACCGCAGCGGCGCGATGGAGATGCAGATGGAGGCAGATGGAGGCAGGAGTCTGGGTTGCGGTGTCGAGGTTTAACCTCAGTGCCTGCTTCAACGTGGGTGATGATACAACCCAGACCCAAGCCGGGGACCACAGCAATATTATAAACCGCCTGCGATGCACATTCCCTCACCTCATCCAGGGCACTCTGCTGCTCAAAAGTCCCTTCTGTTTTTTTTTTAATTATTATTATTATTATTTTTTTTTTGGTTGCTTTATTCTCACGTCTCCTTTTAACTTCAAGCCGCCTTCAGTATAATACAGCCTCTGAAAACCAAGACTATAAAACTGAAATATCGGAGGGAGAGGCGAAATGCTCATTTCGCGTTGCGATAAGTAAAAACCAGAAGCATGCTCAATAGATTATAGAGATATCTGTCTCGAAATTCGACAAAGTAAATGAATATTGCCTATATTCATTTGTATGAAGGGAAATGGAGGAGTGCCACAGCTCGAGGAACCCTGGGCAAGATGGGTGAGCCCCAAGGTGGGACCAGATCTTGCCTTGCTTAAAGCCAG